ACCTAAAACAAACTAGGACTGAACTTTACGGCAGCTTCTATGTGAGTTTGAAGCAGAAATATCCAAACTCGACATCTTTCATACCCAGCTGTGGTTGCTGAGGCTGTTCTGGGTTTTTTTCCTGTGAAGCTGCTCTCAGAAGTGATGTGTAGTTTTAATTTTGCTCGCTCCAGGTTGCCCGGCGTTGGCGATTATCTCCCACTTAGTTTCCTTTGGACCTGCTCTGTGGCGCCTTCAGGACACCAGCAAAGTACGCCAACCGAAGACAAGCGCTCAGAGCAAACAAGCTTCTTGTGTCGGGGCCAGGCCCAGTTATTCAGAGGGTTTGTTATCTCGGGTCGCCTTCATGCTCCCACACAGAACTCCTGATATTACTGGATGTCAAACACACTCCTGACTCCTGAGCGTGGACCGCTGGCATGTGTAGACTCACAGTAAACATGCATGATGCAGCTCGTGAACACGCTGATAGAAGAACTCGCTGTGTACACAGATCTGGATGTTTTGCGCTGTGGAGGAATGTTGAAGCTCAGCCAGAAGCGGGACAGCTGTGTCTCCCTGAATCACACATTTTAATGGAGCGTCCACAACAAGGACTCGACCTCCGACCTCCGGCGCTGCGTTTCCTCACTCTGCTCCTTCTTCTGGCCTGATGATAAAGACACATTCCTTCTTCCCCCGCTCCTCATTCTTGGATTTCACTTTTGTTTTCCTGAAAGCCGAACAGCAGGGACAGAGACGTCCTGTACATGAGATGCAGGGACAGTGTAGTGTAATGGAGACACATGGACGACAGACTGAACATAAATACTACAGACAGGATTTTACAGATTCTCACGCTCACATTGTTTCCTCTGTTTCTGGGCTGCAGTGATGGAAAATGACTTTTAACGTCCTACAAGAATCTGAACAAAAACCACTGAGTCAGCAGCAGCTGGAGCCAAAACCTTCAAGTCTGAAGATAAAAGGTGAAGCTCCAACAGCTTGGACCTCAACATGTAGCAGCGACAGTCTCATGTAGGAAACAGAACAATGGAGGGTTTGTTAGCCTATGTGGTGAATTTATGTTGCTTCTGTCGATGTTTGAGAGGAGAAGACTGCTGCTGGACGAGGACATCGACAGAACAGAAAAATGGTTCTCGTTGTCCTCTAAACAGTCAGCACTGTCTTCACAGAGTCGAACCAATCGGCATCGAGATCCACACAGCAGCTGTTCAAGGCTGCTCAGATGAACCCACACTGGAGAAGGAACTTAATTCTGCCCTGAAAACAGCCTGGAAGAGGTTCTAGAGGGATGGTTCAGCACAAAACAGCTTAATGTGAGGCTGAATTAGCCACGACTGGAGTTCATGACACTCCTGAACCGCGGACCAGAAGGTTGGTGGATCATCTAGGTGCCAGGGAAAGAAGAAAAAAGTTATATAAAGATGATATCTCTGCTTCTTTTGGACAATTTTTAATACTTCAATGTGGATCCCGATGTTGTGAATGGAGACGCCATGCTAAATCTGCAGAGCATTCCTTCACAGTTTCATTTTGGGTTGATTTGATCACACCTGTGGTTACTGGTGGTTTCAGATCTGCATGACTGCAAGGGTTGGGTAATCTCACCAGGGTCCAGCCCTAAATCTGCAATCCTGCCAATTCTCTATCATCTACACCTCTACAATTCATTAGGCAGAGTGTTGTAATTCAAGTCTTCACTGCAGGAGGCCAGAGCTGCTTTGATTTGTAGCTTCATGCTTTCCATCCATCCAAGTTGTAAATTCTCCAGAAGTCCACCCAAAGAGACTGTTGGCAGCAGACGAATCGTACCTGTTGTAGTATAAATAGAACTGCTGGGAAAGTTCATGTGTGGATTCAAAAACCATGAATTGGCCTCAAGAAATGTAAATAATACAACTAGATGTAGAGTTTCGGATGTTCTGAGGCTCCAACAGATGGACTAAACCTGTATTCTCTACATGATGTCAGTAAACGTACCGTAGACCAGCTGTAGTACCTGGTTGTGCCACCAGGTGGAGCCTGTTTAGTTCTGTGGTAGTTCGGCTTAGCCAGACTATTCTGTAGAAGATAATCGTCTTTCTGCTATTGGAGGAAAAAACTCTCTTCTGGCTTGTTTATAATTCTTTAAACCAATCACGGTTGTTGTGGGCGGAGCTAAGTGAAGGACGTGGCTGTGATGTTTCCAGTGATGATGGAATTGTTTTGGTGAAACTTTTCATGCAGGGAGACGAACACTGTTATTAAAATGTTTTTGTTTTAAACCCCAGAAAGTCTGATTCCTGCACGATTCAAATTCTCTGAAAATGAGCAACCAGTGGCAGGAAGATACTCACATCCTGCATCCGCTGAGTTATGCTGAGTCATGGTGGCAGCAGAGAGCATTGTGGGAGTTTAGCAGCAACGGGACCATGACAGAGACTCTGAGGAGGTTCAGGACGTCTGACCACAGCTGATTGGTTTCAGACAAACTAGGATTGAACTTTACACCAACTTATCTCCAGTGGACTGAATCAGTAACATCAGCACAGGATGAATGTCGGCTCTGCTCAGTACGTGTGATCAGCTGATTGATTATTGATTGGAGAGGCTTTAATGAGGCGTCCTGTCACGACACCAGTGTGACAGCAGAAAGCTGAGTTTAGGTTTGTGCCGATCATTTACAAAAAAGACGATCAAAGATGCAGAGATGTAATTAATAAATACAAACAAGAGAATAAACACCAGGTTTATACAATATATGAAAACATTCCTCATTTAAATTTGAGACCTTTGTAAAGATCTCGTTTGCCTTCATGAAGTTCAATGAGCCCATACAGCCTCCAGAAACCCACCGAGCAGTAACGCAGCACCTGTCACGCTGCAGCAGAGCAGCGAGAAGCTCAGCAGCAGATAAATTAAACGCACACGTTTGGACCAGTTTTCAGCTCTGCACTGGAAGGCCGGTCGCCCACATGCCTGTAAGCCGATCCTCAGAGCCGAGCACATCCTCTGGATCACACAGCCACATTCCTGCAGCGCTGCGAGGGGCTGGAGCTGCTCGCCTCTCTCTCTCTCAACATAAGCGTGAGCAGAGCAGCGCTGAAGGCAGACGGACCAGGGGAGGTCTGACGACAGCAGCTCGCTCTCAATGCACACACTCGTAAAGGCTGATTTAGTGGAGCAGCGCCTCCGTTTGTAAGCCGGCCGTCACTCTGCAGGAGATGTGTGCAGCTTTCCCCGCCAGGACACAAACTTGAAGGAGGTTTGGAAATGCAGCATGGCAAGAATGTGTGCAGGAGGTCCAGGATGGATGACACATGTTTGAGGCCAGCTGTGTTCTGATCCAGCTCTCTGAGGAACATCTTGTAAAGCGGGAGCAGCTGAAGACACGAGAACTTAATTCACCTTCTGACCTGTTTGTGATCCTGCTATGATGCCGTGGTGCCACTTTGGGCGGCAGCTGCTGTCGCTGGCGGCGCTTCTGGTGATTGTGAGCTGTGGAGGAGGAGATCAGCGACGAGAGAGCAGCAGCAGCTCAGCCGGCAGCAGCAGCAGCAACAGGCGCTTCCACAAGATCCAGCACGGCCAGTGCAGCTACACCTTCATCCTGCCGGAGGGCGACGGAGCTGCTGGAGGCTCCTGCAGGGAGGCCAAGGCCAGCAGCAGCTCGCAGTACAACGCCAACTCTCTGCAGAGAGACGCGCCGCCGCCGGAGCCCGAGTTTCCCAACCAGAAGATCCAGCAGCTCGAGCACATCATGGAGAATTACACCCAGTGGCTGCAGAAGGTAAGAACCAGGTGTTCTGTTTGTGGAATTTTCCAGTTCTAATCGGATCCAAAAGTGGGTCCTTGAATTGGTGCATGAGAGCAGCGTGGCTCTTTGAAGTGGCTGTTTGTTGAGATGTTTGTGTGGTCTGTTTGTGGCTCCGCTGTTTGGGTTTCTGGACGAGCCTCTCAAACTGAAAGTTCTGTTTTCTTGTCGCCGACACGCTGTTTGTCAAAGTGTTTGTCTGCTCAGAGTTTATGTGCTTTGGGACCGGAGCTGTTGTTTCTGTGTGATGCTGCCTTTTCACACAGACGTGAAGCTGAACGCAGCCAAAAGCAGCCGAGCTGGAGGCGTTGCACAACCTGGTCCCGTGAACCCACTCGCATTTCTGTGTCCCTGATAATGTGATAATTTTAGAAAGAAGCTTCTGGAAAGAAAGCCCTCAGAACAAGAACTCTGTGACTGGTTACGTAACTCTGGACTGGTTGGTCACAGCGGTCTGACTGACATCCTGTGATTCTGTCAGACAAACACACACTTTCTATTTTCCGCTGCTTTCTTTCTGCATTTTAAACTCCTGAAGTCGGCAGATGTCTGAGCGGCTCGTCGGTCACGGAGGTGGTTTGGTGTCAGTCACCCTTCCCTCCAGCAGGCTGCTCTTTAATGGCCGGAAGTGTGAGATTCCCAGGAGACGCTCGGAGAAGGAAAAGACAGAACGCTCTCTTTATTTATTCTGGTCCTGCAGTTTAACTGGAAAACCCAGACTAACATAACAGTTTCATTTTCTTGTTGTTGTAAAATTCCTGTTAGATTCCTCTGGAGCGTCTGAGTGGACTCACAGATCCTGGAGGTGTTCGCCGGGTTCAGACGCGGTTCTGATCAGAACTGTGCTGCTGATATTATTTGGCAGACTTTGTGCTTTTTTAAGCTTTGAGACTTTGTGTCTCCAAATAAAAGCGAGACGATCTCAGCGAAACGAGGACTGGGATCGAACAAACAAACATCCTGCTGCTCCGTGTTGTCGCTGTGAAATAAGATTAGCAGCTCCGGTCTGCGGTGGACTGCTCACAGCGTTTGGGTTTATTTTGTCTAGAGAGCATCTCGGAGCAGATAACAGCTGACGGATTACAGAGCAGATGAGGAGTTAATCAGCCGGAGCTTCATCAATACCTCCAGTCTGTTCATTAGCAGCCCGGCGCCTGCTTCTCATTTACTCCCACAAAGTCAACTTTTCACTCCTCAGGTTGGCGGAAACGCTCATTTCTCAGCAGAGCCGGTGTCGGCTGCTCTGCTGCTGCCACACGTTGACTGAGTTTGTAATTAGGGAGCAAATTCAGAGTATCTCAGCGAACCCAGAGCTGGTGTAGAAACACGTCTGGATGAAGAATCGCATCTGTGCAGCATCAGCTTATCACCGGACTGCGTATCAGAGACTGTAAATCAGACTTTATCTCAGTTTGGCTGAAGGAATTCACCGTCGTGTAAATGATCAGAAGCAACGTGAGCTCGCCTCGTTTCAAACACACAAACCTTTAATTGATGACTCTGGGTTTTTTTGAGTCACACTTCTCGGCTTCCAAAAGCAATCAGTGTGTCAGGAGAGGCCAGAGGTGGAAGAATGGCGGCTTTATCGCTGCTCAGCAGACCTCATCGCTCTGTGATAGGACGGGTGATACTAAGAAAACAGGACGGCGGCCTGGAGCAGCGGCGCTTTGATCGATGAGACTCCAGAATAACTTGAAGCGTGGGACTAATGCTATCAAGCAAGAACAACCTAATGCTTTAAAATCCAAAGAGTCTGTCCATCAGTGCATGTAAAAGCCACGAAACTGAAGGTGAAGAGCCGACAGAAAGGACCCGACGAAGGCATCTGAGAGCCTCAAACACTCAGCGGAGACTAATTGCGCTGCGTGGGGGGAACATCAGGACGCAGTTAACATATTTCATTGGTCAGAAGATTAAGTGTCCCTTCAGTCTATCTGTCTTCATCACGCCGGCTTTTCGCCGCCCTGATGAAAGACGAGGCCGGTCCAGATAGCAGAGCGGCCCGGGGGTCGGACAGTCGCAGCAAACAGCTGCCGGGGAAGATCGTCCCTCCATCAGCCGACCTGATAACATTCCTGACCAGGCAAAGGTGGTCGCTGTCCGTCCAGGGATCAGTGCTGCCGGCCGAGGAGCCTCCAACCAGCCGTCTGAACACAGCTCTGCAGGATTAACGGCGAGGAGAGGAAACCGAGCAGCCAGAAACCAAAATAAAAATCTGTTTGGTTCACCAGAAGCTACAGAAGTCAGTTAAAAACATCTGACGTGATCGCACCGGAAGAGGAAGAAAGTGGGTTTGAAATGCAGGTTTCAGAAAGTCTCCAAAGTTAAAACATTTATCAGCCAGAAACGACAAAAACAGAAACAACTGCTGGATTTTTAACAGCTGTTCCCTCGTGTCTGAACCACATCTGACCTGAAAATGCTGATGTTTCATCAGAACCCAAAAAACGGACCGTTTGTTTGAACCAGATTCTGTAAAAAACAAAAAGTTCTGTGTTGCTCAGCTTCAGACATCATCAGAGCTGCCACCAAAAGTCACATGACAATGAAGAAAAAAAGTAGGCGGTTAAATCGGTTTGGTTTTTAAAATCGGTTTTATCAGAAGTTAAAGTAATAAATGAGAAACAGGAGAGCAGCTCCTGGAACAAAGACGTCTGTAGATCCGACAGCAGACGACTTTCAGGAGTGAATTCCTGCAAATCTGTTAGAAACCAACCGACCAGAAAGAAACCAAGACGTCAGAATGTAAAAGAAAACAGGTTTGTTTCTTCAGCACCTCATCACACACGGAGGTTATTCAAAGGAAAAATAAAACGTGTAAATGATCAGACACAAGACAGCAGAAATATATCAAACATTACAGGAAGATGAACAAAGTGCACAGATTTTAATAATTATTAAAACACACCGACCAAAACAGCAAAAAAGACAAATATATCTACATGAATAAATGCTGGTAAAATATAAAAAAATAATAAAATTAGATGAATTAAAGTGCAGACAGTGAATAAAATGCATGTTTATCACAAAGCTGTGAGAACAGAACCAGAACATGGACTTCATGTTTCCATACTTCTTGTCTTTTCCTGTTTCATCCGTCGACGTGTCTGAACAAAGACTCTGATGGAGACACTGGGTTGTTGTCGGCACTAAATCTGTAGAGAATCACTTCAACCAGGATGGTTTAAAGGCAGCTTGCAGGTTTATATTTTCAGCAAAAATCTCACCAGAATCCAGTTCAACGGCTTTTTAGAGGTCCTGGTGGAGCTACGCTAACGCTAACACCTTCTGGACAGCTGCAGGTAAAGACAGACGTCTCTAATCACGAAGCACGGATTAAAAACTCCTTCACTAAATACGTGTTGAATAAAAAGTCATGTTTGCACGAACCTCCTGCTGTTGGACTCAGTCTGGTTGGTTTCTACACCAGATGTGTATAATGTTATATGTTACATGTTATAATCATTCAAAACACTTTAACTGAGACAAATCAGGGTTTAATCAGTGAAAAGACTCTGAGCACCAGTTTGTCTTTCCTCAGGATAAAACTGGATTCCTTCTCCTCCGTCGGTCGGTCGGTCGCTGCCAAACCCCACGTCGGACCTCCAGTCGCAGGTGAAGCTCGGCCAGACGTCAGGCTATCAATAATCATCACACATTTATTAACATGATGAGCTTAAAGCCTTAAACCAGATGTGCAGCTTTTATACGATCCAGAGCTGTCACTGGATTTCTGTAGCTAACCGCTGATTCAGACCTTCTCTGTTGTTCCAGGCTTAGTTTACAGGAAGTGCTTCCACATGAGCATCTCTGTCATTCTGGGTTCTTTCTGTCGCTCTGAGCATCTCGCCAATGACGATGTTTGTAAGTTTGTCTACGGACGCCTTCAGCCGGTTGTTTAAAATGCAGGAATCCTGATGCTCTTTGAAGCAACAGTTCAGCATCTCGACTGAAAGTAGGAGTCAGAAGATCAGAGGAACCAGATGTACATGTGACGTAGAAGAAGGTTCTACGGTTCTTTGAGTCCATTTACACCCTCAGAGTTCCACTATAGAGCAGCTGGACTTCTTTTTGTGGTTCTTGGAGACGTTTCACCTTCATAGAGGAAGTTCTGACCGACTGACGTGGACCTCCAGATGTTTAGAAGGTCTTGACTGAAGGTGAAACATCTCAAAGAAGCAAAAATGAAACTTGTTTTTTACTGAAGCTCTCAGGTAAACAATGAATGTTTCAGAAAACGTTCCTGTACCTTCTGAGAACGTCCCTGATACTTCAACATTTCAGGGCCGCTGGAAGTTTTTGGCGCCGGCCGAGGCTCGCTGAGCCAAACGCTGAATCTGCTCTCGGGACTAATAGATCTTCTGGTTTCCCTCCTGGTGGAGACGCTAGAGAGTGTTTCAGAAAAGTGTTTGCTGAGAAAGACGAGCCGAGCCAAAGCAAGCTGTCGATGGGAGGAGGGGAAGCGTTCGGAGGCGTCTCGTCCCCGTGAAGCTCTGAAGCTGCAGCGACATGTGGCCGGCAGCTTGTTTCTCCTGCAAGTAGAAGGCTGAGTATGTTTCTCCACTTAATGCCGTCGGAGGCCACACAGCTCGGAGCAGAAACTATCTGTTTTAGTGGTGACTTCCTCCACCACAGTTTATTTTCGCTGATAAACGGCCAAAGAAAACAATCGGACGATACATAAAGGAGAAGAAATGCTCGGAGGAATACGGAGCTCTTCCTCCGTGACCCCGAAGCTTGTAAAAGGGAAACCGTAGAAACTGTGGACGGACAGTAACGGCTTCCAGAGGAGTTGTCATGGTTACGCTGCCTGAAAGCGAAAAGGAAGGAGAGATGGGAATAAGGAAAAACATTACAGCCGTGATGAAGTATTTAGATGGAAAGTGGAGCCCAACGTTGGTGAAGGCTTTTTTCCCAGCTGGTGGCCCCAAACTTTCCTAAAACTGTGATCCTGTTCAGGCAGGTACTGGACACCT